GATGGCACCAGTTTGACCCTGTGAGGTCACAACTGGGTGCCGCTGTGCTTCCCTCAGTGTTCACATTGTATGCTTCTTGGCCAGGTGACAGAGATTTGAGCAGCTGTTGAAATATTTGGGTCATCATCTCTGCGCTCATTTCAATTGGCTAATTAGGTGGTGTTCTGTCTATAAACTGCTGATTTTGTGAAGTGTTTCTGGAGTAGGTCTTGGCATGTTGTATCAACTTACCAAAGCTACACACTTATTCTTTGCAGTCAGCAGAAATAACTGTAATAACTTACAGATGTTTTGCTACAGGATAAAGTAGATTGGGATATTTTTAGATTTTTACTCTAATAATTTAATTTCTTGACGTCTTGCTCTTCGGATGTCTTCATGCTTTATTGCCTGTCTCCGTGTCTTTGTCTTTGCCTATGTGGGGAGTGAATGGTGCAGTGTAGCATCAGTGTTTCCTGCTCCCACTGCATCTGGTATGTGAGCTGAATTTGATATCCATATGAAGAGGCTGCAGCAAAGATGAGGAGGGGAAGGCAATACATGGTATGTTAGTGTGTTTTTATGCAAGTCCTGTAATATTCAACAGGGCACAGTGGTGACAGAATGAACAGTGGAAGGAAGGATAAATGCCGTCTTCAGTAAGGAAAAGATTTCATGATTCCCAACCAGTTTCTGGGTGCTTCCCATTTTCACTTCATTGTCACTGTGGGCTAATTTTTCACTTGCATTATAAAATCCTACACCTCTATGGAAAAGGAACTCGAAAGTTCTGTGAAAACTCAAAATGGTGACTCTACATACTATAGATATTTTTTTACTTGCATTTTAATTTGTTTTTGTACTCCTCTGCTATGTGCTCTGTGCAAAAGCAACTGCAGTTGAGCTAAAAAGTCCCTGAATTTGTCACATTGGTCGCATTTAAGTCATCAATGCCTCCCTAGCTGTGCTCAGGAGCACATCATTTCTTGTTACTTACAAAATTTGGTTGGAGCAAATGATTATTATTTTTTGATTCCCTTCAGTGAGAAACATAGAAGAAAGTAATTTTGATGAAATAGCATGATTTTAAGCTAAGATTTGCTTCCTGACAGAACAACACATCACCGGTGTGTGATTAAAAATCCAACAATTGTCTTTGTTTTCCACTTTCTGGCTTTGACTAATGGTCTTATTTTGGTAATTTTGTAAAGACAGCATGCCTTTAAAACCCAAAGGCCGGTTTTGGGGTTCAGAAGGTCAGTGGAGAAATACATCCAAACAGAAACAAACAACTTTCTGGGGTGTCCTCCTTCTCTAGTCCTTGTTTGTCGTCATGTATATCAAATAAGTGGCTAAATATGAACAAAGTAATATCATGTAGAGATTTTTATGTTGTGGATATGAATTGGACTGAAAACAAAAAACACACCGACTGTTACCAGACTTTTCTGTAGCTTTCTTGATGACCATAAATGATTTTACTCACAAACTGCATATAAACCTGTGAGAAACACTAACAACGAGCAATTCAGATAATTGTCAACTGGTGAAATTCATATCTTGGCCCCTCGAGGCCTTGAATGGTTCTTGTCCATTAAACACTGCATTTTGTTCCGCTTTGTGCCGCTGTATTGGACAAGTTGTTCTGGGGAATAGCCATGAGAAATTCTGTGGTTGTTGCACATTAGTCATGGACAAATGCAAGGCTGACCCGCATGCTGCTGGGGCAGATGGATGAAGTGGAAGCGTCACTTCAACCTCCATCCTTTCCCCACTTTTAATGGCATCCCTTTGCGTTCTCTGTGGGGCTGCACTGAATGCCACTCGACTGTATTTTCTGTGTGTTTCTGCGTTTGTGACTGCCTGCCATGGCACAGTTGTGTTGACACGTTGTTTTTCACAGCATATGTGTGGTTTTTGCCATGAGCAAGGAAAAGACATGTATGAATAAATACATCCTAATACAATATAAAACTGACTTCAAAGTCAAGATAGATATAAATATGCTGAAGATAGATATGGAATATAGGTTAAAAAAAATCCAGTTGTATACCAATGTTAGACATTACAGCACTACAACAACATTTTCTTACTAAATCTCCCCCCAAGTACTCAGGTTTGTGGTCAGCTCAATTTTCAATCCATTAATTATCAAAGCTAGAAAAGCATTGCAACAGAAGTGGACGCTCTTAACCCAAGAGTTCCTTATTTTGTGATAAGAGTTTGCACACAACACAGTGGTATTTTCGGTACCTTCTCTGTCATCTGTAAGGGTAAAATTGAACGGGCTGCTCACTGTTTTTACCACAGGAGTCCAACAAAGAAAGTGCCTCCAAGCTTTAAGGATGTTTAGTAAAAATGAGGGTGAGAGTTAATGGCTTGTGTTTATGTTGCCCCCCTTCTTCTTTAAAGAACGTTTTGCAGGTTGGCGACCTGAATGGATTACTATGGGGGAAAATGAAGCTAGAAACTAGATTTTAGGAAAAAGGTACATCTCTATGTCCACTACAGTTAGAGACATTTGTTTTATGGAGTTGTATATCTGCCTCGAAAAATGCAGCTTGGCTGTTCCATAACAAAAAGGAGAGCATTTGAGTTAGAAGCATTTTAACAATAAATAAAAGCTATGAATCCTAATTGTAACTGTGTTTTGACACTGAAGAGGATTAAAGTTTACATTAACGTGCTTATAGCAGACCGCAGCTTCATAGTTCGGAGCCTGCCTGGTGTTAAAGAGCCGAGGAGCAGGCAAGGATTATGAGAAATAATGCCTGACAATATGAAATGAATCAGTGGTTTGAGGAGAACCTATGCAGAACCGGACAGGTGTCTCAGTGACTAACATTAGGTAACATTGTACCAACATAGGTAACTGTACTGTAAAGTATATCACAAGTCAGTATACCTAAACTTCTACTAGATATTTGATTCATTGATAGCGACTAATGTGTGAGGATCAGCTGATATCGGTCATATATCACGTGTACCACATAAGGGAGAGCGAGAAAGGTGTGAGAGAGCTAACTAATTTAGAAGTTTGCAAAGATAAAAGAAAGACTTAAAGTGCTCAGTTTGTGTTTTCGTTAAGCTGAATCCCTAACAGATCTGTAACTGTTGTTCACACCGGCGCCACTACCAGGATCTGCTGCTGATTCTGGAACTGAAGCAGCAGTCTGCATCGAAGGAACAACAACAGCTATCAGTGTCACACACCCTGACATCAACATATTGTCAAGAACCCTGTCGTATGTCTGGGAACATTTCCCCCCTGTCATGAGCGTTTCATTTGTGTGGCACAGATGCAACAGTGAAGTCCAACTCTTCACCTGCACAAAACTGATCAAGCCACAGCAGCAGCTCCATTGTTGGGAAAAGTATAGTCTGACTTACAGTATGTAGGTCCCCTCCTTCTATCATCTGGGTGTTGCTGTTTTCTTTGTAAAAGAAAGTAACAACCTCTGGGGACCAACTTAAAACCCTGAAAATTTTAAGTCATGCCTAGAATTTTTATCATGCAGTAAGATAGCCCTGCTAGTTTATTTCTGTGATTTATCCTTTTAATCACATTGCTAGCAAATGTTCCACCAACTATTTTATACACTGAAGCCACATCCTTTGCGTAGCTCCACCCACGATGACTGTAATTGATTTAAAGAACTTTAAACAATTTGGAGTATTTTCCTTGATAGCAGAATGATAGTGTGGTGCAGCCAGACCTTTATGTTCTACAGCATGGTCTGGTTAAGTGGGACCAGGAAAAATGTGCACTCAACAGGGTGACAAATTTCTGTAGCCTCCACAAACGTACCAACAAACTTTTTAAAGCACATCTGCTCAGACTCATGACCACCTACTATTGCTCAGTGAAGACTCCCTTATGTGGTGTAGTATTATGTTGTTGGGGAAAAATGCCTTACTTACTTACTTTATGTCTCTTAAATATTTATAATCATGCATTAACTTTTCCGATGACCATTCCAGTGGAATTTTAAATCTAACTTTAGGGAAAAGTGAAACTACACTACACTACAACTCGCTGTGTGTAGCTGCAGGTCACTTCAGCAGGTCATTGTTTTTGAGGGGGACTTGTTTGCTTTCCTTTGTCTTCGGTATTGCTGGATATCCAGCCCAAACCAGCCTGGAAAAAGCAGTCAAAACGTTTGCTTTGTAAAATGTAGATACTTCTGTTTTAGTATAGACATGTTGGCCATGTATTTTCAATATTAATAAACAAAGCTGCGTGTATATATTTTTCCACAGAATAAATGATGCAATTTCTTTTTTCCTCCTGATGGTTCTCTATTGTTTTGGGCTGTCTCTAGCAGTTTGAACAGACATTTTATATTTAATATTGAACATTCCCCTGAAGAAATTAGCTTAATGCATCAGCTTTGACAGGAAGTTGACCTTGATGATTGACTGTATGCCTTGCATGGTCAGTTAATTCTCTTTTTTAACACTATAACTTGTATTATGCGTCATGTCTTTAATAAGTGCATATACACGTTGATTATGTTATTTTAGAAATGAACAAAACCCTTCTATCTGGTTAACATTCTCATGTATACCATGTTTCAGTAGCTCAAAGGTACATCCAAGAAGCCCACAACATGCCAGGGCAAAAGAAAACATTTTCCTGTCATTTGATTTAGTGAACTGATCAGTAACCTATGCCATTTTTGTGGATGTGGTGTTACTAACTAAAGAAGGAAATTAACACCTATTTGTAATATTGCCAAACATTTTTGTTTCCATTAATTTCGGCCTGCAAGTTTGTGTAATGTAGCTCCAGTGGGAAAGCTGCACCGGCTGCAGTGGAAGGTAACCAACCATTGATCTTACAGATGCTTTAAAAGTTTGTGTTGCTACTTAACAAATGAAATGCCGGATTTGGTCAGTATGGCATTGAACAAATGAGCAGCCAACATGCACAGAGAGTGGTTGTGCCCCCACTCCTCTTCCTGTATCTGATAGAAATGTGGTACAATCTGCTGTGTCTGTCTGTCCTGTGTGTGCTGCAGGATTTGAAGGCTGCTCCATGGTGCCCTCTATCTATCCACTGGAGACGCTGCACAACTCACTCTCCCTCAAGCAGGTGGACGAGTTTCTCAACGCCGTGTGTGAGAGCAGCAGTGAGGTCCACGCCAAAACCATGAAAGGTTGGTCTGCACAGTAAATATTATATACTGCTCACTTATTGAAGATGTTCACTTCCAGAACTGGATGTTAGCCCCTCAACGATCAACCACATACAGACAAGCAACCGTCAATGTTTAAACCTTGAGCTCAATCCAACTGTTCATGTGTTTCACGTACTGTAGATCAGGCTAAAGGCCTGACATGGTATCACCATGGGAGATTCCGAGTGTTGTCTTGAACATCAGGCAATCACTTATTGAAAAGGGTTTCCAACCAGATTTACATGTGACAGCAGGACTGATGTGTGTGTTAACTTATCCACTTACTTTCTGTCCCTGAAAATTGAGAGACTCTGACTGTAAATACATATGTTTGCAGTTTGCAAGTGTTATTATGATATAGACAGCATGAATTAAAAGCTAGAAGTCAGTGCTTCAATTCAGATTTTTTGTCAAAAAAGTATGAACTGCGGTATAGTTCAAAGGAAACTGAGCTTTGGTTTATAGGATTCAGAAACGGATCTTTTCTGTCTTTGTTCCAGCGCTCTCCAGCCTGTTTGACTCTCAGAGCCAGACGTCACTCTACAGCCCACAGCAGCCTCTGTCTTCATCTGGATCAGAAACATCTCTTCGCCCGCCAAGCCAGCCACTATGGCGTAAGTGATTTTCTTCTCTGCTTTTGTTTGCATTTTTTTTTTTGATACAATGGTATATAGAGAGGCAGAAAATGCAGGAGGGGGAGACATGTAGCAAAGCGTCCGGCTGGCCAGGAATCAAACTGGGGATCCGTTGCTCAGAGTGAATGGACACATATGATCTGCCCCTTAACCGCTCGGCTATTGGTTCAGCCCATGGTGGTAGGGTTTAATGATTTTAACTATATTATGCAATATGTTGTCCTGCTTTCTTTCCATCTGATAAATGTCTGCACAATGGTCAATTTCCAAGAGATTAGGACCAGAAATATCTGTCTTGACTCAAACGGTTGTTGTCACTTCAAAGAGTGTCAACGCTGCCTGGTACACCTCTGGCAATGTTTATTAAATTGACACCAGTGTAATAAGATATGGTTTGTTATATATGCACAGGCGATGCTTTTTTGGTGATTAGCACTGTAGATTCACAGCAAGAAGGTTCTGAGTTTGAACCTGCTGGGGTCTCTCTGTGTGGAGTGTTCTTCCTACAGTCCAAAAACATGCCTGGCAGGTTAATTTGAGATTCTAAATTGGCCGTAGGTGTTTGTGTTAGTCCTGTGGTGGGCTGATGACCTGTCCAGAGTGGACTTTACCTCTCTCCCTGTCAGCTGGGACAGACTCCAGCCCCCTGCGATCTTTCACAGGATAAAGTGTGTACAGCTTAATAGAAATTAGGCATGGATTTGAAGAACTCTGGTTTTAAGTTCCTGTACTGTTTGGTACCACTAAAGAATTCTAACTGCTCAAATGTGTTTTTATACATTTTTCATTCCGATGGCATTGATTTGTGCCGATCAGTTTCAAATTCTGCCTCAAACAAGGCTTTTAATCCTCAGCTCTTCCCTTGTGTGAAACTGGGTAACTGTATGAATGAGAAGCTGGGAAAGACAGTGCATACTCAGCAGAACCCGGATAAAGGATGGTGTTCTACACTTCCCCTATGTTCAGCATGCCCTTCAGATACGTGGTCCCAGATGGGACCTGAAAGGCATTCATCTATCTGCAGTGACCTTGTGGTTACAAATGCTGACTGTGGCAAATTAATCATATTATTCAATCTACAAAAATATGAGAAGAGCCACATGTTTCACTCAGCACTTTATTAGACTCTTCAGTTTGTAGTCTGACTCACCAGATGTAGACTGCGGGTATCATCCTGCCATTTCTGCAGTGTATTTTAGGTTGCGTTCTTCTTCCCTTCAATTATCTGTTTGTTAGCATTTTCAAAAGCCCCTTCACCATGGAAAACAACAGCAACCAGTTCTGACAAAAAACTGTGCAATAATGCAGGCCTGCTGGGCTGTATCGATAAGTTAGCCATTTTAATGATATTGCTCGCCTCCTTGCATAGAAATGTTCCTTTAAAACAATTCCTTGTCACTGTTCCTTAACACTGTCATGCAGTGGCACCATCACTGCATCCTGGCCTTGGCAACAACTAGACAATTGAGAGAGATTGATGTAAAAAAACAAAAAAACAACAAGTATAATGATAATGACTGTAGCCAAATTATCTGACTGTACAGAAGTAATAATTACTGTGCAGTAGGCCAAAAGTCGTTAGGTACTTTAATGAGCATTTCATCTGAGATTGTTTAATCAGCTGTTTACAAGGTCAAGAATGAACTACTTCAGACTAATTGATGATCATTTAATTGTGTCAGCACAACTCCAAACTGGCCACTAATCATTTTAGGTTTGGAGGAGCATCATCTAAAATGTACATATTAAGTAATAGGCAGTTTTCACAGCCTACCTTCTTACAAACTGTGCTGTATTTTTAATAAACACACCAAAAAAGGTCCCCAAACTGTCAGACGAGTGAAACAACAGCAGATTGTGAATGTGTGGCAGACCGCCCCGTGGGATCAGCATCATCCAATAAACGTCAGTAGAATGGGACTCAGAACATCACAACCTCTTCAACAAGCCAGCCCAACCCTCGCATCACCCGCTTTTCTTTCTCTCTTCTTTCCTTTCTTGAGTCACTTTTTTTTTGTCCTTTTTATCCCCCTGGGTGGTGAGGTGATTAATTTATCCTCCTGCCAGCACTGTTGATTGATGAAGCATCTGCTCTTGGAGTTTTCTCTAGTGCATATCTTCTCTCGTGTTTCCCCCTTTCATCCAGCTCTTGTGTATTTTATTTACCTTGCAGTCACTCTGGGTGGCTTTTCATCTCTCTGTCACTCTCTCAGTCGGTACCTGCTCCAGATCCGGGTTGCTGTAACTGCAGAGAACTCATTTAGCCTCATTTAGCCGACAGTTTACAGGCAGAGGCGCTGGAGATTTGAGCTGGATTACCAGTGTTGTGTGGCTCTGTGTGTTTAGTTACAGGGCTGCTGTTTTTCAATGCAGGTTTATATCACTCAAAAA